TAAAGATGTCTACAATTTAAAAAGAGAATTATACTGACAAAAATTTAGCTATGTCATTGTAAAAAGTGTGTGCCAAAAGATAAGAGAGAAGAGTTATAAGGTAAACCGCGGCAGGATTAGCTCAGTCGGTAGAGCGTTTGACTGTAGAGCGGAAGGCGCTGGTTTCCATTCCCAGGGTCGGACCAATACTCAGGGTCTTAAAATAACTGAGAAATGAAGGTATTTCCTCTACACTACAAGTGGCTAGACCTTCTCGTGGCTCGGATGACCGCGTAAAAATGGCGGTTCCGTCTCCAGTAAAAATAGTGTCCCCAACTAGTACTTTCCTGCTAAATACCTTGACACTCGAAAGAAGTGCGTTTTTTAATAATTAAGCGCCATATTTTTAAAACTATTTATATTTTCTATTTATATGGGAAAAGCTTTTCCCAGGACAAGGTAATAAAGTCATTCTCCCAGCCTATTCAGCTGAGCGAGCTTTTACGAGAAAAAATTTGACCCCTTTGCCCGAGCCAACAGCGGTTGCGCAGGATCTGATTCTCCTTGGCAGATTTGACCCAGCTTGGTGAGCCAAAGTGTTTATCTGGGGAAAAAGTGTCCCAGACCTTCAATGTTTGCGACCATCGTTATTTTAAGTCATAAGCTATGTACTGCTGAACAATGACGACCAAATCCCGGGGGTGCACTCCTAGGGTCGAAAGCGTTCGTTTCCAACAAAACAATGTTCCCACCATTCCCCGCATGTTCACAGAGTTTCCCTGGGATTATTAGCAAAAGAAGGGATTCCTGGAGGAACACAACAAATTTTCACGGGAAAAAAAATTGAAAACTAGAGACTCCCGTCCGGGTGATGGATGTCTCCTTTTGCCACAGTGTCACAAGTTCTCTCTCCTGCATGTAGTGGGTGGGGACGAGGTAATGTACGGGTCAGTGGTCTATCTTCTGAGCGGTCGCTAAGCACAGCAAGTAACAGACAAGATGGCGGATCGATGGCGGACAAAAGTCAGTTTCGTTTGCGGCCCTTTGCTCGACCTGTGATTCACCGATTACACTGATCTCTTCAGGTGCACAATCATTCTGTTCAGCAGATGTCAGAGGTAATTGATAAAGACGAAACAACTTTTCTTCAATTCTCCAAATATTAACTTAAGCATAGGCGGCCCAGACGTAGTGTGTGTCAATATAAACATGGACACAATGGGATGCGTCGTTGAAATTCCCATGAACTAATAGTCCAAAAGCCAAAATATAACAAAACAAAGCTAAGATGCCTTTAACTGAATGTCTCCTTGTCTTTCCTGGCCAGTTAAAGTGGCATTTTGTTGAGTTTTGCAATGGTAGGTACTATCCTGGGGTATCCAATCGATGGAAATCGATCATCGGAAGACCAATCGATCAATAGATATCAATCGATAAAATTAGTTAATTGATATCGATTGGTATCAGTAAATCGATGATCAATCAATAACCACACAAAAACCGTTATAGATTGCTATCAATTGGCACAGCAACCTTGAACAGACGTCACACACACTACCAGTGATGAGCTCCTGACGCTACCTGTCCGATCATGCGCCATTTTTAGGAAGCCCTGGGGACAAAATTGTTAAAACAATTCCGCCCCAGTCTTCAATGCAAAGATTATATCCTGTTGGTCATACTTTTTACATGACATAAGCAGCCTAGCTGCAGTGTTCTGTACTCCTTGCAACTTAGCTATTTCAAAACATGCAAGTCATGCAAAACAACGGCAAGGAAATGTACAAATAAGTGTGCTGCAATTAGACCTATTGTTTTGTTGTTTTTCACAGTTCTCGTCAAGGGCACCCAACAACTGTTTATGTAAAATATCTCTTCAGAGAAGCAAATTTGCGTAGAATTTTCGTTTACTTGGCTAAGAATTTCTAGACAACCATTTCATTCATGTACAATTTTCGAAGCTCATTTAATAAATTCCCTACGATTTTCTGAAGTTTAATGTTTCACATTTCACTCCCCTGGTTTGGCTATTTTCGTAGATAAAAAGGAAACCTAAAATTTTCAGATTCAAAAATGTGATGGAAGAAGGAATCAGAAAAATTATCTCCCTCGTAATGGGTTAAATTGCATCTAAAACTTTTAGGAAAATAATACTGAATTCCTCGTAATTTTGAAAGACTCGAGTTCCCCCAGAATGGCCAAACAGATACAAATTTTATAGCACCACTTTGAATGCATTTCTATAGAGCTAAAAGTGCTTTATAAATAGCTAAAAAAGTGTTTTCAATGTATTTGAGGAAACCGTCGTTTGGTGCCCCATCTCATTGCCTTCTCCACTTAGCATTGCACAATTTTATTTTTAGTATTGAGCAAACTATAAATATTATCAAGAACTTCACTTTTAGCCCTCCTGACTAAATCTATGTATTAGCGCCGCTTGGAATGCATTTTTAGAGATCTTGAGTACTCTGGATAGCCTTAAAAGTATTTTCAATGCTTTTAGGGGGAAATCATCAATGGGTGCCCCTGAGTTTTGAAAATAAAAATAATAAAAAGATATCGCTCACATAAATTTTTCGTTACCATATCTTCAGCTGCATACCAGAGGCCAGATTTTGCCTTTTTCTCAGGCAGAAAATTCTCGTCCTCCCTTGCCACTTTGGACAACATATTGTGGAGTAAGATATAGTTCTGGAAAGAACTGTTATGTCCGAGACAGATATGTGAAATAATTATGGAAACAGAAAATCAATACCGAAATGACCACCTACCTATTGTCACAAGCCATTCCAGCAACTGGACTTTCCACTGGTGGAGCAATGACAGAACCGTCATACTTGCCTCTTTTCACAGGGGTCGAGGTGTGCAAATTAGAATCATCTGCAAAACAATATACAACATATTATAACTTTTATTTCAATGAAAACAGAATTAATCCCGATGGACTGTGTCCATTAAATGTTCCGGCCACATGCACTGCTCACATAAAAAAGAAGTCCCTGAACAGGGATTCCAGATCGATCTCGTGCATCTAGTTACCTGCTAGGGGTTGTTGTACTGCACTTGACTCTTCCGTACTCTTCTTCATGGCTTGCTTGGCTTTTAAACTGTTAAAATAAAGTAATATTTAACAGGTAGTTAGATTCGACGTTGCAGCTTCGACTAAAAAGCAATATTAATGTAGAAGTCTTATTTTCTCACCTTTGTTGCCTTCGCATCTCAAACGACAACAAATGCTGCAAGAAAGCAGTGTCGGTGGAGAAGACACACTGGGCTTTCAGCTTTTTAAATGTGTCCAGAATGTCACGGCGGACGTAAATCCTTCCATGGGACTTGAGCCACGAACTCCGAGAGTCAGATCTCTTCTCTATGCTCTTAACAAAGCTTCCAGGTGACAAGAGCCTACGGCCACTGCCGTAGCGTTTACCGCCTCGAGCCGACATCCTTCGCTTGGAGCGCTAAATAGCGCTTAGGATTTCCACAATTCTCCAAAAAATTACTGTAACACGAAAGCCTTATGTCTAAATAATTTAAATATATAGATAAAATACAAAACGAACACCGATTAGCGACGATGGAAACAGATTTTCACTTGATTTGTGAGGATTCGCGTCAGTTTGATTTCTTGTTGGGCTGAACACTTTTCAAAGAATCGAGCATGCGCAATGCATGTGACACGGCTCCTTTAATCCCAGCCAATCGGTCCAGTAGAGTCAAGAGCCTGGGCAAGCGGCTGGTCAAACAATGTGACAGCGAACATTAGAAGAATTCGAACTTGAAAAACAGGGCCGCCCTGTTGAAAACTGTTTACGGCCAGTTGCGCGATTGCCTTTTGTTTTCTGGTCAAAACTAACGAAGCAGTCTCTCCCTCAGTGTTGATTGACCTAGAAGCAATAGTACCATCCCTCCCATAGCAAGTGCTGCATTGAATATTCACATCACATAGTAATCCTGCCCGTTTGCAGTCATGGTGGAGCATAAAGGTCAAGTGTTTGTTGATGAGCAAGTGATTATCATGCAGTTGCAATGGGTTTTGTGGAGCCAGCGAGCAAGATTCGTTGATTATTCTCAAATTTATAGCACTTCGCGTGGAGGTGCATGGAGATGGGTTTTTTTTTGTAGCCAGCCTTTAATTCTTCTTTGGTGAATAGTATCTACGATTGCAGAACTCGACAAATGCCACTTTAACCGGCCAGCAAAAGACAAGGAGACGTTCAAAAAAGGTGTCTTAGCTTTGTTTTGTTATATTTTGGCTTTTGGACTATTTTAGTACGTGGCGGTTTCGACAACTCACCTCATTTTGTCCGTGTTATTGACACACACTACATCTGGGCTACCTGTGACTTAAGCAGCTACTGCTTGTGCAAACTCGTCATGATCAATATAGTTTAATGTTACTAAAGATTAGTATAAAAAGCTTTTGAGTGGTTCCCCCTTCAAATCTGACAACTCCATTAAATGGTTAATTTTTTTAAGCTCTTGGGTATAATCTCCATTGAAAGAACCCTTAAACTTAAGCTAATTCAGGATACATGATTCCCCTTGGAAATCAAAGCTTAGTTAGAGTATCAACTTTTAAGAACAAACTGAAAAACACCTTCTCACGTAACTTGTTCTTTTATCTTCATCCCCCTCCCTTTTTCTTTTTCTATGCCTTCATCTCTTGTCTTTTTTTCTTTTAATTTTGCCTTTAGTACCTTACGTACCTTTTGTTACTCTTTCGTAAATGTTTTTTTTTTGTGCTATTTGGAATATACACTGTAGTAGAGAAACCCTACTTGACTTACATAAACCTCATGGTTTCTTTTGGCTTTCTTGCCATTTTCTCATATTTCCTTGTACTTAATTATTTGCAACACCACAAGGTGGTGAGATAGTAAATAAAAATTAAAATTAAAAGATATCCTTAATGAAAAAATTTTAATTTCAGGGCTCTAAAGTGATTTTTTAAAAGACAACAATGTACAATGTCTGACAGTGAGAAATTATCAAGAGTAAGCATTCCAATGCCACCAAAGGTTATGAAATGCAACTATTGTGAAAAGTACTTTAGCCAGTCATGGAGTTGCAAGCGCCATGAACTCACTCACACAGGAGAAAAACCTTATCAGTGCAAGTATTGTAATAAGTGCTTTACACAATCATCAACTTGCAAGTGGCATGAAATTACCCACACAGGAGTGAAACCTTATCAGTGCAAGTATTGTGATAAGTGCTATAGACATTCAACCAATTGCAAGGTGCATGAACGTACCCACACAGGGGTGACACCTTATCAGTGCAAGTATTGTGATAAGTGTTTTAGGCGGTCGTCAACTTGCAAGCAGCATGAATTTATCCACACAGGAGTGAAACCTTATCGGTGCAAATACTGTGAAAAAAGCTTCCGTGCTTCATCAACTTGCAAGGAACATGAACGTACCCACACAGGAGTGAAACCTTATCAGTGCAAGTATTGTGAAAAGTGCTTCAGTTATTTATCACATTGCAAGGAGCATGAACGTACCCACACAGGAGAGAAACCTTATCTCTGCAAGTATTGTGACAAGTGCTTCACACAGTCATCCAATTGCAAGGTGCATGAACGTACCCACACAGGAGTGAAACCTTATCACTGCAAGTCTTGTGATAAGTGCTTCACACAGTCATCACAGTGCAAGCAACATGAACTTACACATCTGACATGCAGGGATGAAACTGTATCGGTGCAAGCATTGTGATAACTGCTTTACACAGTCATCACATTGCAAGTAGCATCACTTTACCCACCCACTTATAAAATGTAAAACCTTATCATTGCAAGTATTGTGAAAAACGTTTTAGCCAGTCATTCATTGTCAGGCAACATGAATGTACCTACACAGGAGGAGACCTTGTCATGGCTTTGGAAGCCATCTTGACAAGTACATTGTAGGAAAGCACATGAAAAATAACAGTGTTTGCATGAGAATCCAATGTCGAATAATTCCTGTAAAGTAGCTGTTCTGAAAAAAATATGAATTGTAAACTAAGGCTACACAGCAAAGGATTCTACTAACAAATTTTTGGGGTCATACCTTTTGCTTAAAGGGACAGGTTCACAGTTCAGTGCATGCTCATTTATCAAAATGCTGTTTTTCTGCCAGGGCATGCTGTATCGTCTTTGCAAGCAATATGATCATGACATAAGGTTGTCAAAGAACCAATCTGCACACTCCCCTGGCAGTCACTTGATCAACTTATGTGCAAATGGCTGTAAATTAATCAACCATGGAATAAAATCTTTGGGTCAACAATAAATTCAACGTTGGTAGTGTTGGCACACTCCACTAATTTTTCCGGCGTTTTTAGTACTTTTCCATCCTACTTCAGGTTTTTTTGAAATACACTTCTACTTTCAAATACACTCTGAGATCGCTGAGATAAATGTGAGTTTGATTATTAACCGATAGAATTAATAATAAATTGGAAAAAATTAATTTAATTAATGAGCATGCGCTTAACCGTGAAAATGTCCCTTTAAATTTCTCCAGATGCTTCCTTTAGATTTCAACATATTTGTTTGCAATTTTTCTGGGAAATTTTAGTTGGTTGGAAAAAAATTTTTTACAGACAAATATGTAGCTGCATGCAACGCCCTCCTATTTTTTCTGTAGAATCCTTAGGAGTGAAGCTTTAGTTTACAATTCATATTTTATTTAGAACAGCCATTTTACGGAAATTATTTGACATTAGATTCTCATACAAACACTGTAATTTCTCACGCAGTTGCCTACCCCTCAAGATGGCTTCCAAAACCCTGCCAAAGTCTATAAAGCCTTATGAGTGCAAGAATTGTGGTAAGAGCTTCAGCCAATCATCAAATTGCAAACAACATGAACTTACACATGCAGGTGTGAAAAGTGATAAGTGCCTTACATGGTCATCGAATTACAAGAAACATGAACTAGAAGTACCTTTGAATTTGCAGCAGGAAATCAACTAGTATTAGACCCTTCCAATGATTTTTCAACTGTTAACATGTTAGGGAAAATTCGTCAACTCCGCTAGAAAGAGCATCTTTGACTTAGTAAAATTGCCAAGTGTGAGAGTGATTTGTTGAAAACTGACGGAGATGTACAAATGTAGCTCCCCAAGTCGCAAAATTTTACAGACGTTTGTATGGTGTGAGGCACGAACTTATAGCTGTACATGGTTCCTTTTTGGAAATGATTCCAGTGTGATTACAGCCCTGGGTTAAAAATGGAACCCATTTTTCTTGTTCTTTCTGTACCTGACTCATATTTGTTATGATGTAGCGTGTTGTACCAGTTTCTACTTCTAGCACGTGGCTTACAAATTACTTGTAATCTCTAGTATTAGTGAGCTTACGCAACAGGACGGGAGAGGAAAGAAGACTGCAAACCTTGTGTGACAAGCGTGACAATAATTTTGTTTGAAACAACTTTTCACCAAACTTCACTTTCCTTTAATCAGATCCCATTGTAAACTAGTAAAGAACCAGAAAACATTAGACAGTGTTAAGTGAAGATCACAACAAAACACGCATGTGATAGCCCTGTCATGTTTGTCACTTAGTGTTTTGCCTTCCTCTTCATCCCGCCGTTCCATTGCGTAAACTCACGACAGAAGTGCAGTCAAGGGGAGCGCGAGTGGTGACGGGAAGGAGGATAGAGGGGAAACTCCCTTTTATTTTTCTCATTCTCATCACCCCTTGCGTTCCCTTCGGTCACGCTTCTTGGGGAAGTGTCAAGGATGGAGCAGAAATAAGGAGATTTGATTTATCTTGGTTCAGGTTTAGGCCTCTGACGCACTGCTCAACCCCGGGGGGAGGGGGTACTCAATAAAGTTTTACACGTGGAGGTTCTATCGCGGGGTCCAACCCCTTACCCTTTCGCATACCTTTTATTGACAAATTGTACCCCTTTCAAATACATAATTTACATCTTGTTTAGATCTTGGCATACCTTATGAATGCTGTAACTGCACTGTGTTGGAAATATGAGTAATCACAAATAAACCAGAGCTTTTTCTCGACATTTTCACAGTCAAAATGCATTTGTTAGGCCCTTGGGCCTTTTTACAGACCAAAAGACAGCTTTCCTTACCTTTTCATATGCTTCGACTGGTGAAATATCCCTACCCTTTGAAAGTAATCTTAGTAACCTCATCTGGTGTGAGAGCCCTCGTGCAGTTTGAGGTCGTTCCTAACCTTACATGAAATAGAATATAAGCATGATAAACCAATAGGAACTAAAACTATTTGCAATCTTTTAAGGTATAAATACATATTATTTCGGATCAAAAAATCGGACTAGAATTTCCCAAACAATCGGCCCACCCTCGACCCGGAAACATGGTTATACTAGCGATTGGTAGGAAGTTTTTGCGTTTTATCCTGACCTCAAAGCGAGTACAAATTGGCAACTTCGTGTTGAAAGGTATTGCCGGCTTTTGCTTTTCCTATGGTATTTACTTGATATGATAGGGTGGCTTTTATTTCGCTTTAGCGAATGTCGGAGAGGTTGGCTGAAAAACGAAATTTGCGGTGTGCGGAAAAAACCGATCGCGGAGTGTGGAATGTGGAGAACGTGGATTATGGAAAATTTTTAACTTTAAATTTATATTCTGACACAAAAATACATGCTATCTATTTGTGTCACTCCGCTCTTGATTCACACCCTTTCTTTCCAGATAACCTGTTAGGAAAGTGGCTAAGTTGTGAGAAGAGTGACTCCAGAAAACTTCATTCAGTGAAATAAATGAGCAAATGCAGATTGAAAAGGATGTTTGGGAAGCCGTGATAGAAGGTCTGGATAGGGATTAAATTAACTCTCAACAATTCGCTTTCCCAGGATTTATCCATTCACCATAAATGCTACTTTCATTCAGACCCGGCCTCCTAGCACTTTGCCCATTACTGATACCCATTCTCTTTTTTACTTGACCATTACCCTTGATTGACTATCCTTTCACAACCGTCCCCGCCAGATTGAATGTTGCCGTCTCGCTAGGCGGTTGTAAGTTTTGAATCCTGTGGCATGAGCATTCAGTTGAAACTTCTTTGGCAGTACTTTCACATAATATTTTTTTTCTCAGCATTTTTCGAAACAAATAAAATTAAGAAATTTCGAAGAGTTTTGACTTTGGCAGCGATTATGAAAGGGTTAGGTATATTTGTATTTGGCAGCGTTCTTTTCTCGTCTGTCCAGTTCTCAGATAAAAGACCGCTTTCCTTCCGATACGATGAGAATCTAACAGAAAAGGTGGGCAGATTAAGGACAGACTTGCCTCGATTAACGCTGCATTTTGCTGGTCACTGTCATAGGTATTTAGTTTTCTGTAAATAAATACATTGCTTTTGTTTGAGTATATCTGAAATAAGGTAGTAACCCATCAGACAAATTGAGAAAAAAAGGACGCTTCCATGTATCTGTCACGCAAAGGAGAGCTGGATGAGATCGTGGCTTGTGAGATTTCCTCGAGACACTTAACTTCACCCGTTTTTTCTATCCCTTGTCCACCTGGGTGGGCTGTATCAGTCACAAAAATCCTAAACCAAATGCAATCTTGTTTGATAAATTCATATTCGTGATTCGTTAGGAGATAAACTAAAACCAAAAAGAAAACCGCCTTAATTCCACATGGTCTAAGCTTTCAGTGACCCAAACCATCCTTCCTTAGGCCAGTAAAGCAATATACAACAATTCCGTGAATTGATATTTTAGTGCCGCTTTAAATTGTTCAGACTAATATTGAACTTGGCTAATCTAGTTTTTTTCATCCGTGTAGCCTGTGTACAACCGCTCATGACCGTAATAAAGACCAGACCTCAGTTTCAAAACGAGCCAAAGCGCGAAGCCATCGATACTTATGTTCACAAGGGAAGTTTAGTACTTAGCTTAGTTGTGAAAGCGAGAGTTTTTGTAACTCAGAAATGGCATGTTGGGGAGAGAGACCGAGGGGAGGGGGTGGCTGTACACGGGATGCGTTACATGGGATACGTCTGCTGTACAAAATTAGCAAAAGATTAATACTGGATTATAGTTAATCGGCTTGCAAAGAAGGAAACTATTTAACCTAATCGCCCTCATTACTCTTGAATTTTCTCCACCACAAGAATGTAAGAAATAACTTTCAAGTTTAACAGATGAATAAGAGGTCTAAAGATTTTTGTTTTCAAAAAAATGATTGGACGGCGAAAAATGATGGTCTAATTTTTCCAAGCTAAAAAGATTAGAGGCGTTATTTTCAAAACATCCTAAACATCTGAAAATAAAACCTAACAGAAAATGTACAAAAATGAATGTAAGGGGAAGGAACTTTGCTGGGTGTTTACGAGTTTCAGTTTATCCGCGGCGCAGTGCACAGGCAATTGGCAAGAACATACCGCTCCTTGAGATTGCAATGGAGCCTCTTCACTCACGTAACCAACAGCTATTTCAATTTATTGGAACAAAAGAAAGTTTTTACATAAGAAAAAGGTTCAGCGTCCACATGATAAGTTTGGGACACCAACATGGCCTCCGTTTCATTGTTTTGGTACTCCAATATGGCGGATGTGGCGTTATGTGAAACATAACTTCAACGATTGCCAAATACAACGGCTTAATGGAAAAGTGCCCTCTTTAAAGCTCAGTTTTGGAAGCTAGGACCAACTTAATAAAATAGAAGGACAGGATCCTAATAGAGGATCTAATCAGCTATGATTAAAATAGCTGAACAACGGAAAGAAGCAAGGCTGATTTTACAGTAGGAATAATATATACTTAATTTTTGTGTTACCAATATTTCGAAAGGCAAGGCCTTTCTTCTTCAGGGTCTGAACTATGAAAGGCCGTGTCTTTCGAAATATTGGTAACACAAAAAATATGTATATATTTCCGACTGTAAAATCGGCCTTGCTTCTTTCCGTTGTTCAGATGCTCTTTAATTCAAATTCCAGGGGCCGTTTCAATGTAAAGCTCTATCACCCTAATTTTATTGGCTCAAATATTGGCCTCAACAAAATCAGTCCCTTTGCCATAAGTGCCAGCCTTGTTTTCAACAGCAGGTTTTGTTGTACTAGAGCCAGCTACACCACGCGAACAGCTTAAGTGGTAAGTGATAAACTAAAAATGTAAACACTCGACAGCATAATTCCTTGAGGTAAACAACTTTATAATAAAGTTCTTACAAAAGGTACAATTTAACGTTCATTCCTTCCGTTTTGAACGTTGAAAGAGTTTTGCATCTATCTGTGAGCGGGTCTTCTCTCTCTGCTCTACGACTCAAAGTACAAAGAACAAAAGTGGCCAGGTTGATTGTTGTGGCGGTTACCCTCTTGGCAATACTCCACGCACCTCCTGAGAGGCGTCGGTCATGACGCTTCTCTAATAATCCTCCCTTTCCATTTCTTGAGGAAAAACATACTTTTTCAGTTCACTAAAGTAGTGAAATCTCCACATAAGTCAGCAATTATCCTCGTCCAGAAAGACTGGCGTACAAGTACTGCATTTATGGTCAGCTGTGCAAACCTTACACTTTTCTCTGAATAAAACTGAAACGTGCTTCAAGTAATAAGCCCCCGGCGAGAGGATTAATGGTTTCTTTTTTTCGGTCTTTTTTTCGTCTTATCGAATTCTTAACAGCCCCATCTGCGTCTCAGTGGTTGAGGATCTGAGTACTATTAGACGCCATCTACAAAATATAAAAAGGGTTCACTCTGAGTTTGATTATAGCAATAACGTTTTGAAAAATAGATTTCTCGAAAGAAGGATCTCTGAAAACCACAATCCTTCTAGATCCTATCAAGAGAGGACCCATACAAAGACACATAAACAGGAAATTTAAAAAATGTACTCCTTTCATGAAGGGGATTAAAAAATGTTAGGATTTACTGTGGGTTCTGTGTGGAGGAAGTCATTTAATTCGAAGCAAGCCCTTTTTCATTTGATGCGGCTCCAAAAAAGGCAAATATTGAAGCAAATATTTATTCATCATTATTAGAATGACGTTGAAATAACAATGCAAAAATAACAAAAATTCGTCCTTTTTTCAAATTCCTTACAATCACCATACGTAGTAATCTCCGAATAGATTATTTGAAATATTTAATTTATTTTCCTGTGTTTTGGGTTTTTCGTTTGCTTTTTGTTTATTATCATTGTTATTATTATTATTGATTATTATCATTATCATCATCATCATCATCATTATTATATTAATATTACCAGGACTGTTTGAGCAACCGACAAGGCCAATGGCTAGCATACTTTTACCCATTCATTAAACGATACTGGCAATAAGAAGCCATAATATGGAAGTGGCTTGAAACAATTTCTACGTTTGTATCTATGCATTTCTACACTAATGTTGGTCTTCTCAATTCAATGCAAAAATATAATTCAATCTTCCAGAAAACAGAACATTCGCAACAATAATCCAATTAAAATCGGTAATTGGTTCAAACGCCCAATCGTTATAAGAAACGGAATAAATCAGAAAGGGATAGAGACAATGAAAAATGAAAATAGAGATACTCAAGACTGAAGTACCGATATTTTTGTCCTTGAGTACTATTTTTGGTTTTTCATCGTCCTCTCCTGTGGAGAAAACCACGCAAATGGTATAGAGAGCTAAGCCCCCTTTTCCGCCGTTCTTGTAAAACGCGCCGAAAGAGCTCTTGCTTGCGGTTATTTCATTTTGTTTTGTGTTTGTTTGACCTTTAAATCGGGTGCTTGAGAATCATCAGTTGCTGGACTTTTAAAATAGTTATTGATCGGTTTTTCTTAAGCATGTGATATCCTGAGCAAAGCGCAAAACGCGCTAAGGTCCAGTTCAAACGTCGAACTTTCCATGTCCCGAACTTATGACCCATGATAAAAGTTCGACGGTTGATCCACACGTCGAATTAAATACTATGCTTGCCAGTGAAAATAAAATATATTTGTAATTTATGCAATCGATTCGACACATGAAAAGTTCGACTGACGTTTGAAACGTTCCACTGTCCCAAGTTCTTATGTGGGCCTCTCGAACTTAATTCATGGTTCGACCCAAATCAGATACGGTTACGTTGGACTTAATTGATTCAAACGTCAAACTTTTCAAGTATTCAGTTATTTGAAGGAATTTGTTGAGGTTTCTCAAAGAGTTCGACTTTGGAGCTGGGCCTCCATATCAAAACTACATGTGCATGGGGCATTTCGACCCTCTTACCATGATGTTTTGTTCGTTATTGATCGTGTCCCAGCAAATCTTCTCTAAGTTACCTCGTCTTCGCTCTCAGTATACTCTTAGCAAGTATTTTCAGTCTGTTCATCATTCACAACCGATAGTTCAATCCATATAACTGACGTTAGCAGCCTTTACATTTTCATCTTAAATCAGCATGAAACAACTTCTTTGTTCTTCATAGAGGTCAAACGTGGACACAAAAATTACTGTTGGCTTTTTGGCCTATTACATGGACGTTAACAGGGAACATCAAGCAAGAGCGGCTTCGGAGAAATAGCCCGAATTGGTCCTATTATATGCCCCTTTTTTGTCACCTCTAGTACAGTCAGGACATCTTGAATTTTGTTTGCGCCTTCAAAAGTCACGACAACATGTGCACCTGCTATAAGAAACCTCACGCTTCAATGACGGATCGAGGGAAGTCAGGAGATCCATACACTCCCCCTCCCGCCTCAACCACATCCATCACACAGGTTTTTGCTCAGGGCTGGTAGCTCCAGTGAAATAATTGCCCAGGAAGCGAAGCCAGAGTCACATCCCAACGACTTTTATCATAGTGTTACTTCGAAATAGTTCCTTTCAATCATAATACCCTATTTACTCATCGACTTTGATCTAATTGACCAACTCCTGATCAAAATCACTAAGGCTCTTTACTAAATCTCAATAAACGCGTGTCAATAAACTGCGGAATGTCAATAAACTGGCATGGGTCTATTAAAATAGGCACGGTTTCCCACATTCCGCACCATCGAGCAAACGCAAAATAACGATGTCAACGCTCGAGTTGGCAGTCAGCTGACAATTTCTTACAAATCACTTTGTTAACCAAACCCTAGAGTTGGCGCTTTGCTTTGGAAATAGAAATCCCCATATTCCCGACCACCTGAGGGCTTGAAACAGGCAAAGCACCGGCCTTGTGAAATCAAAGGCTCGTGTGTGCAGTGGTATTGGCGACCTAGTTTCACAAGCTTTCACAGAACACGGTAGCCGGCTCGGCCGCCGGAATTCTAGTCTTGCTACTATACCTAACGAAAGAGATTTTGGCCCATCACCTGCAAGATGATGCCCCTAGCCATTAAACCTGCAGAACCGAATAGTTCAAACCTGGGTTAAGATAACGTAGAGCTAGCGCGAAATATGAATTAAGTTATTAAACTATCATTTTAATTCTCTTGGTCTATAATATGATGGTTGGACGCTTTAAAAACAATAGAGAATGGTTCTGAACAAGGGAAAGTCGAGAAATGCCTGAAACCTGGATTAAAATTTAACCCTGGGTTAGCGCTTATCAGCCTTCAAACAACTGGACCCTGGGGGAAAAAAGCAGGGCAAAATTTCTGGTAAAGAAAACAAGAGGTTGGTATGGCTCTAGCCCGAACTTCGACAAGATCATCATCAATCTGTCGGTCACCAGGTCACATAGCATAGCGGTGAGAGACGGTCGAAATTATTCAGATTATTCAAATTATAATAATAAATATTGTTATAATTATTCAAATTATTCAGCTGTTCAACTGTTGGCCAGTTGAACAGCTTCAACAGAGTTCATAAGTTCAGCCTTTCCTTTTCCCGCCCCCAATCAAAATTTTCTGTATCTGCCTCTATATTAACTCGTCCGCTATTACAAAACTGTATATATTGTAAATAATCCTAAGCATTAATAGCATCACTTAAGCATGTGTAAGCCTTAGATGAAAATTGGATTTCCCTTCTAGGTCATTATGGTGATTTTAATCCGAATTCCTTATTATATTATTCGGTAACGTTCTGTTTGTTATCTCGTTTAGCCTCCGGTCCAAATTCATGCATAGCAAAGTTTGAAAACAAACACGATAAAACCGGGATATAGTGAGGTTTTTCAACAATTTTGCATAAATCCTAGTAATTGTCATGGATATGATTTAATGGAAAAAGGAACTCACATTTGTAAGCTCCGTAACTACATATATTTCTTGATAATTTTTTTTGAAAGATATTAAACACAAAGAAATTTAAAGCATTCAAGTTTTTTAACTTCCAAGTTAATCTGTTATTGATAAGCTGTATAACCTAAAAATGTTGAGCTTTAGGGTCTTTGTAGTGTTTAATAAAAGTTCATATCTTTATTGGAAGCTACAGATTCTTGATGTATGTATGCTGTCTATTTTTCCCGCCCCGACCAAACGCTTTCTTTTATTAGAACTCTCAAATGCGTGTCAGGAAAAAAAAAATTATTCTTAGAAATGCCATTTTTGAGACTTCGTTTCTCAAAATAGCTGAATGCTTAAACTTCCATTTATTTACGTGCTCGATTCAGACGGTACTGGCAACGCTAGGCATTTCCGAGGGGTGCCAACCTTGCCGACCTTCCATTGATCATACTGATGCTCTTTAAAAGACCAAAAACGTGCTGGGAAGATGTCCTCCTCTAGGGCTAAAGAAATTCACACATCGATTAAAAAAAAACATAATTTTATTAACATTGTTATTTGAATTTTTGGAACTAGTGGAAATGGTACTTTTATCAAGAACGGATGGAATGTGCCCTTTAGTTGAACAGGTAAATAGTTTAGTATTTGTAGCAAGGTTATTTCATTTACTGCAAAGTTTTCTTGCAAATCACAACTCAATTGCATTATCCTTGGTTAGTCAACTTGTAATAATTGCCTCGTTCCCTTATTTCTTCTATTAATTACAGGTATTTTTATATATTTTGGGAGACACCCTCACAAAAGAACTGAATTCAGTAATATGCCACACCCTTTACCTCAAATGAAACGTAAAACGATTCTTTGTTAAACAAGCGGCGTAAATGTTGGCTATTCATAGTTCTAGATTTTTCTATTCAAATCGTCAGAGATTAATATGCCGGAATCGTACAATTTCCTTTGATTTGAGTTCTCAGAAGTTTTAGAAGTCTTTTAAAGGGAATTATTACGAATAGCACTGTCTTAGCCCCTTTCAAAACAATCACAGTCGAGACAGCGACACCAAGGTTTAATGATAAGAGTAAAACGTTCTTCACGGTTTTGAACAATTCACAGTTCGAACAGACACCGTTTTTCTAGTAGCAAGAGAAGGTTTAAGGCATATCTATCCTTTTTTGATACATAATATATGTACAGAAAACCTTGAACTTTGAATAAATTTGACCTCAAATGTGATCTGTGCAACCGACGAGTCGCGCGTGCCGGCCATTAAACTGTACATCGATTTAATCTTTTTGTTCTTATTGCCATGCCGTCAACTATTTGTGTTTTTTTCCTTGATCGGGATTACCAACACAAATTCCGACTTTGGCGCCAAAGTCCCGATGATGGCAATTGCGTGCAGTATGCTTGAGAAGACTAATATTTACTTCTTGTTGATTTACACAGGAATATCCAGTTTCTAGCACGGGCGAAAGACAAAAGGGAAAAGATCATATAGCACAAAAAAAGAAAGAGTAGACGGGAAAAAATGATGTTTATTTGCCCGTGTTTAGTATGCGACACGTGGCGCCTATTTTCAGCGGAAGGATTATAATCCTCTTAAATATAATGAAAACACAATTAACTGCAATATCGCTATTTAAGCTTATTTCGTTCTAGTAGCGGGCAGTCGTCTTGACGTGAAAATGATGATCAAGCTCATGTCACCTTCAAGAGATGAATAAGCTTTTCATTAATCAAGAGTAAAAATAAAGACTTTTTAATATCTAGTTGACTACGATTAGATATGTAGCCACCCCTTAATGTCTAACTGACTTTAAAACTTTGTTCCCTTGGTTTAAATTGAAACAAGTTTCAAAGCAACTGTGATCGTTAGAAATCGGTTCTTCGAGAAAATGCCTGTTTTAAGAGAAGATCTAAAGAAGTAAAAGTTCCAACTTTTACAATAAAGGATGTCAGGAATTGTAATTGAGAATGGATCAAGTCTCGATTATTTTTTTATTCTATACTTTTACCCATAGTCTGTCTTGTCGTGCAACTTCCTGTAACACAATTCCTAGATTGGCGCTGTTATTCTAACTTTGGGTTTCGCGGTGATGGAAAATCGTTCACTGATCTTTTAACCTGAACACCATTCAAGGTGAATCTATTGCGCCGTGATTTCCTGCAATTTATTAGTGGTTTGTGGGTAGAATGTGATTTGCGATGTCATTATATTTTGGATGCACAGAATTGGATCATTAACCCAATTCATGGCACTCATCTCGAGCACGCTACTTACGTGTTGGGAAAAATTCAAGAGGAGCACTTTGTATGCTTTGCGGCTTTGTCTGAAATTCAGACCGGTAGACCAATATACACAATAACATTAAACTTGGGCGGATTTATTAACGAAACCAATTGGAATCTTCACTCTGATTGGTCTTTACTACTCTCGTTTTTTTCGGAGAAAGTGTTGATAGACAGAAACCCGTGTAATAACTACTGTTTATAAGACAAGCGCTTTTGAGAAGCTCAGCTGGGCAAACATCGCATCTTATCCCATCGTGATGAAGTCCATAGAATCGATTGTCGTCTTACAAGTGCTGTTAGGTATTCTCACCATTGGGCAACAGATGGAAAAGGGAGACGGTAAAAAGATCATCATTATTATGACAGGAGGTCGTGTAGAGGAACCGAAACCACCTCCTCCAAAACAAGTTGAAAAACGTGTATCCAACGTTAGGCATCGAAAGCACAAGAAAGACAGATGGCTTCAACAATGGGTAAAGAGGATGATGTTAAGTAAGAAATTAAGAAACAATTTAAGTATTATACTTAGCAGTCTATGGCAAGCCTTGCCGAATTCACTACTTTTTCTTTGTTCTCTTGGTGAGACGCTGGAAACATAGTAAAGAGCAGATTCTTAATGAAGATCTGTCGGCATGGCATTGATATTATGCGTTAATTTTTCCTTGGTGAACCTCTGTTTGTTTGTTATAAGAGGGTGTTGAAGGCAGATAATTTAAATGTCATAAATGAAAGCGATGTTGCCATCAAAGCCGACGGACCGTGGTAACATTAACAAAACAGAACGGCACGATTTGCACACATTTTACATTCATTAGTGAACAATATCCTACATGTGAATAGCTCTAGGATGATTCCAAAACGGCTCTCACAAATTTAACTAATTCACTTCTGTGAATTCGAACTTCCAAGTGATTTTATAACAAGACTACACAATTTACTGCACAGATTCTGAAATCATAGAGGTGATTACATTTTATTCAGCCAGTGAGACGGGATACTGTGAGAGAACGTACTAAACTTGTTTGCTGATAAATAAGTTTGTTGATATTTAAACAATAAAAAACGTTAAGTGAGAACTAATCAAGCTCTTAAATTGGCCCTATAATAAACAAATGAACAGATAACAACTGTTAGCCACGTTATTAGAAACGCTAACACTCAAAGTTGTTTTTTGGTTTTTAACAGCGAGACAAAATGATGGCTGAAATTTCCTCAAACCAGACGAACAGAGTCCTTGCAACTCTCCAAGACTAAAGTTACAGCATGTAAGGAGTCGGTGGCTTTGATGTCATTTTTTCTTTACCGAAATAGATACCAACATGGGAAAAAACGACTGTCGTGCATTGCGTATGAACTTGCCGGAAGATGAATTTCAATACAGAAGTGTAAATTAATTTATAAAAGTACTGACTGTCGTCAAAGCTAAGCTATTTTACTGTGCTTTGCGAAAATGTGTTACAGTTTTTAGCTTGTTGGTTGGCTGGAGCCCTCTGATCGACTCTCTAGATCTTAAGCGATTCTGTGATTATGTTGTTGCTGGACCATTGGGGTGAAAGAATTGCTCGTATGTGGTTTTTATAATGTGGCGCTCTTTTGCGATCGAATAACATTCCAGCGATTATCACCGTCTCCAGCCAATTTCAGACGGGAGAGATAGAGACAGAGGGAGAAGGTTGCAGTCAATTCATTTGTGCTTTTGGCAAGTAAGATGTAAAATAGCATGAAAAGGTATAACAGTTTTACTGTCTAAAACAAATATCTTTAAAGAATGTAAAGAATAGCTATTATAAAATAATTAGCGGCAACAAGATCAAAATGTCAAAGCTCGTATTTAGCATAGTCGAGGCTATTAAAGTCTAATTAAGTTACTCACGAGATTTGCTGGTTTTTTTCTTTGCCTCTTTTTCTGTATTTGGATACATGAAAAACGGCAAAAAACGATATTCCAGCCTTCCTTGAACTCGACTTTTCAGTCTCTCGAATAACTTTCTAACGCGACTACTAATTAAACCTTGTGAATTGACATGGATAAAGACTAAGCCATATATGTCGACTAAAAGTGATCTTTTTAAAAGTCGAATTAACCTCTCTTATAATAAAACTACTTGGCTGCACCGTTTTTCCTGCTTAACAGGAGGCAACGCTTAAACTCCTTAAAATCTCCTTTTTTATATGACCACACCACCTTTTTTCAAGTGGTTAAAATGGGCGTCAAAGCTTGTTATTATGTACAAGTTGGGTGTTCCAATAACATACCCGTAATCGGGCCAAAAAACGCCGCTAGCCGGAGAAAGAAAACTGTAGCAAGTATTTTAAGACCTACTGCTCATACAGGGAAAAGCGCAACGAGCTAATTTCAGAATAGGCACAAATTATATAAGGTTGGTGCAATCGATGACAAGATATTTCAAATATGACCTAATCACTTGAACTCCAGTCAATAAATTGATCTTGCCAATAAACCGAAAAATTGAGGACTCTTTTTTTAGTTCACGACGTCTTAGGATTCGGGCGCACCATCTGAATGCTTTGGCGCTTTGCCTATTAACTGTGGAAAATGTCAAGGTTACTTCGATAGCAGAGCGATTTTAAGGGGACATCAGTTTAAAAAAAAGCAGAACAGTAATAATAGTGGCTTGTTCATGGCAGTGAGACATGATGAGAAGATCACAGAAAAGGATTTAACCAGGACACTCGCTTGTGTCTCTGGCCGGTGATGCTTGAAGAGCACAAATTCTTTGGCACCACGCTATCTGCTAGAGTTCTAGCTGGTGTTTTTTTTTTTCCACCGATGCCACCTATGTCTGCCTACGATTTGAGCCTGGCTTCGTATTGATAAACGGAGCCCTACGACACGTGTTGGCCGGTGGTATATTCAGATTATCTGTGGAGCCCTGGAATGTCTATGGAGCATCTCGTTCGCCGAATGAGACTTCTTTGGCATTTGAGATGTCACCCGCTTCACTCTTGCTATTCGTTTCCAGTATTCGTTTTGAACTCGATGCTTGACGAAAGAGAGTGGCTTTACGTTAAATCTTTCCACTTGAGGCAAAGATGCCAAATTATACCAAGGATGTCAACACGGTGCTGCGTTGGTGAAGCTTCGTGGAAACGCAGAAGTCCAATTTCCCTGGTCTCTGCATCGTAACAGAGTTGTACGCTATAATTGTACAGTCGACTCCCGATGACTCAAACCTTCAAGGGAAAGCGAAAAAAGTTCGAGTTATCGGGAGTTTGAAGTAAATAACCAGAAGTAAGGAAATAAGCAAATGGATGGGGAAGGAATGCAATTAAGCAACAAAGTACTATACAGGGATGGACTCTGAATTTGAATTGGAGTGACAAAAAAGTAAAGACAAAGTTTTGAAATAAATTCAATGTTTCGGACTTCAGTACACGCTTTTTTTCCTGACTTGTCACGCGCTTATAACATGGTTCTAGTTATCGAGGATAAAATTGTATACGGAAATAATCGCGAAGGGAAAAAAAATTACCTCGAGTTAGCGGGAGGTTCGAGCCGTATCGAGGGTTCAAGTTGCTGGGGGTAAAATTACAGTAAATGTAAGAAGGAAATCCAGGGGAAATCGACTTTGGTTCGAGTTAGCGAGGGTTCCAGTTATCGGGAGTCAACTGCTCGCAGACAGGGCGTTTTTGCGTGAGACTTTTTCTGAATATGTGGTTGTCGACACTAAGGTTAACGAGGTTTTCAAATCGGTGGCTATGGCAGCATTTGACTTTTTACCATTCAATACAGACTGTAATCGATCGACAGAGTTAAAGGCGGTCATAATAACGCTGTGGATGATTTGAAGTTCAGGGGCACCCAACGAGAATATAGTTTCAAAACCACTTAAACATAGCATTGCCGAACGTATTTTAGTATTTAAACGGTAGATATAGGCATATTTTTCATATTTTTATCCCCTAAAAATTTTTCTTCTGTTCGGATTTCCTAGCTGAAAGATTAAGTCTAGTGATCCGAAAATTATGGGGATCAAAACTTACCTTTTCGAAACTCAGCCAGATAAAAGGCTCCCGAAAATTCTAGGTGACCTTTTCAGGGTATCCGTTAAAAATGGGCAATTATAGCATTTTTTAGATTTTCGAAAATCCTGGGAGAGGCAGGCAAGCAAGAAATTTTAAAACAAGTGCTCCGAAAATTCCAGATCTCAAATCGTCTTCCGAACGGATATTTTCCAAAAACTGACGTTGGGTGCCTCTCGAAGTTGCTAGAGTACTTCATTCCTCTTGAGATCGACGAAGAAACAAAATTCAGTGGTGTCTGGCAGAGGTACAACGAAAGAACTGAAAGGTCTTTGAGTAGCCGGACTTACCAAATAGACTATCGTAGAACCGCGATACAGAACAAGAAGCAAATATATAGTGCAAGTTGACCTTCGTGTGACGGTAATAAAGCTTAATGACAAGATCTTTTTAAAGAAACAATAAAGGAAACAATTTCTGATACCTTTCCGTTGACCCTCTGTCTGTCTTTTTATAATACATTTAAAATTAAAGATTATGTTATTGAGCTGTAAGTGTCTGTGGTCCCATTAAGTTCTTGTGAACGTCATTGGTTTGCACGATTTGAACTCGGCTAAAGAAGTCTCTGAAGTATTACAGGCGCATGCCAAATAAATTTCAGAATTCAACTGTGAAAAATGTTTTGGAATTTGCTGACGTTAATGAATTAGCTTGAATTGCTCTGAGGCAGAAGGAAACCGATTCGAAAACTAAGCCGATTGGCAGTCGTGTTAGCTATTTTTTGAAAAAAGTGCCCTTTAGTTTTTAGAGTACCATAAATTACTCTAAAACGTATCTAGTAATATGTATTTCTCGAATTTTTTTTTGAAATATTCTTCAGCAGTTTTAACCTAAACTCCTGCTACATCCCGCTACTTATATTTCAACGTATTACGGTGCATCTGTAATACGTTATTTTATTATTGAAATGTAAATAGTTTTCTAGTTTATTTTATTTCATTTTATTTTAATTCGTGTATGTATGGCGGAAGAGTCCCCAAGGGGGAGCTATGCAATAAAGTATGTATGTATGTATGTATGTATGTATGTATGTATGTATGTATGTATGTATGTATGTATGTATGTATGTATGTATGTATGTATGTATGTATGTATGTATGTATGTATTTGTATCGTCTTTTACTGTTGTGCACCTGGAGCCAGTTGTTCGAAGGCCGATTAGCGCTAACCCAGGGTTAAATTTTAACCCGGGTCTCTTTTTCTTTTCATAAAAAGCATTTTCTCGGACAATTTTCTCTATTCTTTTTAGAGTAGCCAATCATTAAATTGTTGACAAAAAGAATTAAGCTGAATTTGCTTTCAAGCTTTCATATCTTAATTCAAATTTCGAACTAACCCTGGGTTATCGTAACCCAGCTTTGAACAACTCGGCCCAGGGTGTGCGATGTTTTCAAATCGAAATACAAATTCGTTATGTTGGAAGTCAAAACTAAGTTGACTGTAAGTTTGAAGCCTT